CTCTAAATGGACGAAAACGGAATGGTTTCTTCAGCAAAGTGCCTTATTTTGATCCCTAGTATTAGAAAATCCTATGTGCCTGAGCGACTTTTAAATCGACCCTCCCTAATTTATATATATATATATATATATATAGATATATATATATATATATACTGTGAATGACGAATTTTTTGTTTGACCGCATTTAACCTGCATTCTGATCTCGTATAAGTGATCGCACTTCTTGATTAGTCATATTTTATCATGCATTGAATTCATTATTAATAGTTTCTGGGACATGACAAAATCTAAATTTATGACGTTTTTAATGGACCTAGGATTTACGACTTATGATTTTGACAATATGTCGTCTTTTTTATGTTTTCTGAACATACTTTAACAAATAAAATTTAAGCAATTTATTTCAACATCAGGTAGGGCGGAAACAAAGGTCCAAATTGACTTTGAGCATTTATATTGTGAAACAATTATATCATAACAAATAACGCATATCAAACAACTATATGATTATGTTTAGTAAAAATTCCATCTAATTTATCACTCTAGAAATGTATTTTTTGCTGTTCTTCATAAATTTGTAACCTGGTCCTTTTATCCCATACCCAGATTAAGTTGGGACTAACAGGGGCAAACAGGTCCATTGTTTTATTTTAATTTTAAAGGGTTTTTACAAAATAATAGTTACATTACTCAACCAATGCAAAATATAAATTTTATGGGTGCAGATAAAGTTTTAAAAAAATAACACTGTAATTAGCCTTGATCTGGTATTTCATAAGTAGAGTTGGATTTAATTTTTACATTTGTTGGCTAACCACTATTATTTGTTCTTGAATTATAGGTATGCCTAGGTTCGGTCTTTTTTACCCCATTCAAGCGTAAGCTTGTATAAAGGTTATATAAAATATTTGAGTTTATAAAATATTGTTAACTTAAAATTAACAATACAACTTATAAAATAATCAAATAACGTATACTTAAATTATATTCAAGTCTGTAAAACTAAGCAACAATTGCAACAGCAATATAAATAACAACGCAAGAACATACTTTTGTCATGGATTTTTAAACATTGCCGTTTTTCTCCCGATAGCAATGTCGTAAGTATCAAGGTGGTCTTTGTTTATGCATGCTTTTTCCCTCTACTTTCAAATATTGTTGGTAACAAATTTTTAGCTGGTTTTTAAAATATCGGTGGTGGACCTTTTTACTCGCGGATTCCTAAGCTCCGCTCTACCCTATCATAAAAAGCTTTTCTGAAGACATGCCTACTATACTCTTTAAAAGTTTAATATCAGTATTACTTGTGTGGGTTGGACTCGAACTCAACCTCACACAATATAGTCAACAAGAGCGAAATGAATCTGCAATTTAAATTTACTGACCTGTGAGTTGATTCTAGCATGTAAAATAAATTTCCGACATATAATCAAATTTCATTCAAAAACGATTGTTAATTTATTTTAATTCGAAAGTGATAGTACAATGCAATTCTCTTTTCTCATAAATTCGTGAACAAACTTACATAATGAAATTGAGTAATTCTAAAGTTTCCAATAAGCAAGTTCAAGGTGCAAAGTATTGCTTTAGTTCTACATTTAACAAGACTTGCTTTATTAATAATATATATATTTGGCTCCGACGCCACTGTATATATATAACAATCACTTAATAAACTGAATAAAAAAGTACGTGTCAAACTTTGCATACTACATCAATTAAAAATAAATTAATTTATGAGTGATTAAAAGTATTCCGAGTGCATTTATTGCAGATAATTAAATACGAACTAACACTCGGAGTTTTTTCTAAAAGCAAATTTTAAAAAATTAAGAATTTTTATTTTCAACCAGTTTCCGTAGTACTTCAATGGCTTAGTATGTTCATTAAGACCAAGTACTCTATTGTTAAACCATGTAAATCGTGTAATTTTAATTTTAACAAACGTCAAAAAAATCTACTCATTTTCTCAAACTTTGAT